AGGAGAGAGGCGTGTGGAGACGAAACGGAGCCTAGGGCTGAGTGCCACACAAAGTCAATAATATAACACCACCAGCGGAATATTATTAGGGTCTGTTTTTCTTTTTGCGACTGCGATCAAATAACGCTCTTTTATGTGTTTACTAGCTTGGGCGACTAAACGCAGCAACCAATCGCAACATTTTCAAATTGATATCGCAGCAGCTTTTAGTGGAACGAACTACATCAACATCATTGATTATCTGATCGCTATTGCTAGTCACTTGTAATGGTTGTTATTACTAGTGATTGACAAATAAATCAGGTTAGACGCCAATTTTGTTATAGAACGTTTAAACAAACGATTTGTTACTTAGATTAGTAGCAAATAGTGAATTTGTTATTAATTTACTAAGCTTAGGGTCCGAATGGTGACGTTAAATTGAGTGGTGTAGAAAAGAAAATTTTGCTGTACGGTATAGTACAAATGCGGTTCGTGGGGAAAAATATATTATGCGGAACAAGTGCGGTTTGTGTAAAGAAAGCGGGACGGACCAATATTTGATTGGTTAAAAAAATAATATACGGTTCATGATAATTGTTTGATTGGTGAAAAACGATAAAACGGTTTGAAATAAATATTTTGCATAGTAATTTTAGAAAATAAATTTAAATATCGTCATTATTATTTGCATAAATTAAAATTGTACATGTACATATAATTGGAAGTATACTTTAATTTACAATAGGGAACTGACGAACTACTAAATTAAGTGGGAGTACACTTCCATTTACAATTTTACAAATTAAAAATTGATTAATGATATTATCAAATTTAACCTCTTAGAAAATTGTGACAATTGCAAAAATGTCATTTTTGGTGTGTTCATTTTCAAAAATATCACTATAGATTGTCTATTTTTAAAAATTTCACTAATTAAAGTTTTTAAAACCGTAAAATTCTAAACCGTGAAAATGATTTAGATAACAAACTCTAACAACAAAAACTGAACCTTAATACAAAATAGTTAATCTAAACCGAAATGATGTTTTGTACAAATTGTATAATTTTAGTGGCAGTTTTTCAAAAATCTCTAAAAAACTCTACACAAAGTTAAAGAG